CTTTTTTATTAAATTAAAATGTTGATTTAATTTTTTTTTTTTTAGGGTTATGAAGTGTTTTATTGTAAACTTTCTTTAATCGATGATTTTTTATTAAATTAAATATTGAGTAATTTTTGTTTATTAATTGTCATGTTAACTTCAATTTTTTTTATTAAAGTTAACATTCTTAATAAAATATGAATTTAAATTTAACTCATAGTAAGATCATGGTCGTATGGTATGTGTAGAAAGGCCATTGATACTTGTTATGGTAATTGCTTGCACTATCAACCTTAGACGCTTGGATCCAAAGAAAAATATATTAATCTTGGATATTTTGACATAAATAATAAAATACAAATTAAGCAAAAAATAGAGAAGCATATTCTATATTGTATAGCGTTAGCTACTTCACGTACAGTGTAAGCCCCACATCTTGTGTACATATGCTGAAATTTTTCTCCATGGGGATTAAACACACAGAACTGCTCCAAAGCAATGTAAATATTTCTTCTTCTTACAAAATAATATTTATTAACTTTAAAAGAACTAATTATATATATATATATATATATATACACATATAAATTGTCCCCAAATGCAGCATATTTTGAATATTGACAATTTTATTTATTGACATTCATCAAATTTTAGGTGGTTAACAGGAGTTATTAAATTGGCCTATTCAGGTTTTGAATATCCTTTCATTGAAATATTCTGTAGTCCAGAACAAGTATCATCTTGTTGTAATAAGCTCTTTTCTTCTTCTTTTCATTCTTCTAAACTGTTAGTACTTTACATAATAAGATTGTAGTGAAGTAATTAGCAATTTCCATGAAAATATTAAGTCTAACCTTAAAAATATTTCTTTCTTTCCTCATGTAAATCTCTTTAAGCAGAAAGCTAGAGCAGTGAGCTGGTTAAATCACTTTCTGCATTTTTTTGCTCTCATCTCAATATCTTCTACTGTTATCCTCAAGATCTTCTAACAGTCTCTGTTGCTGTCATTCAGCACAGGTACTTTTTATACCCTTACCTTATTATTTTTTTATTCTTCTATGGAATCACTTTGACTATCTTGACATGTTATTATTTTATTAAATTTATATTTAGGATGTTTAACTTAGTTTTTCATAATGGAAAGTAGTTGTTAACAATTTTTGTTGTAAACAATAGAGGTGTGCGGTGGTCGGTTTTTTTTTTGTTTCGGTTCAGTTTTTGGTAAAAATCGACTAAAAATTTCTACAATATAACCTACCGAGCCGCATAAGATGTAATGTTGGTTTCGGTCGATTTTTTAGAGGCTCGGTTTTGGTCGGTTTGATCGGTTTTTGAGGGTGAGATCAATAGGCTGACTTGGGTTGACTTGGGCTAAAATGGGTTGACTTGGGCTGTGATCCATGGACTAAAATAGTTAAAGATCCTTGGGCAGCATTAATTTCAATGGGCTAAAATAGTTAAGGATCTATGGACTAAAATTGTTAAGGATACAATGACATTAATTTCAAATTAATTTTTTTGTTAAATAATTTGGTTTTTTTTTTGGTTTAACATGGGTCTTTTTTATTAATTCAAATAGTCATTTATATGTAATCTTGTTCTCCTATTTATTTATTTTTCATGTAATAAATAAACATTAACCTTTATATAATAAGTAAACATTAGTTTCAAAAGTTCTATAATTTAATATGATCACAAAGAAATTAGCATTAATCTTCATACAATAAATAAACAAACAAGAGTTCCACAACTTAAAGCTTAATGACATAAATTACTAAATTTCAAAAATATGAATCTCCAAGGCTCTAACTTCAATTTGTAATGATTTTGCAAAACATGCTCCTAAAAAGATTAAAAGTAAATATATAATTAGTCTAAATATTTATG